ATGTATGTGTGTGTGTGTGTGTGTATTTTTTACTCTAATAAATTTTTTATACCAAATATTATAATACAATTACTGGAAGTAATTCTATGTTACGTCATATGTCATCATATACTACTACAGTAGTAACATTACTGACTCAGCATTGACACTATTGCAGTATTAATATTACTGCAGTAACAATGACACTAGTAGTATTTTTATACTTCCAAATGATATTGGAAACTTGTATGATAGACCGACATTTAAATTTCATTAATTTAAAAATTTAGATCATTTCGATATCGATTCGAGCTAGAATTAGTCTAGCTAGAATTAGATAGAAACGATGATATTTTTCCTTGATTTCGTGCTTATTTATGGTAAGAGACATTATTCCTTAAAATTCTTCAATACAAAAGTAACGTAATAAAGTTTTATTAAATAAACTACGAAGTACAAATAAAAGTAATGTTATTTAACGGGAGTAGAACAATAAAATAAGATACAAAGAATTACTAGAAGAAAAAGTGTAGACTTTATCGACAGTTGTAAAAAATATTCCGATTTGTATAAAAAAATTCCACAATTTTCTAAAAAGTTATAAAATTATTTATAAATTCTGAAAAATTTTGAGAGAGCTTTTATGATTAGAGCGATATTGCAATTGTCGAAATGAAATCGAAAAAAATGTCGATTCGATCTTTGAATGAAAATATTCAAAATATAAGACGTATCACATATTACGTATCACATATTTATACCAAAAATATTAAAAATATATCGAACTCTCATTGCACTCTCTACATACGTTTTTTATCATTCGAAAATGTTGAAATTTCGAGTTGAAGTTTCGAATCGACAACTTTTCCATCGTAACGACATTGAAACGACGTCTTTTCGAGGAACTATTTCTGACTAGGAAGTTTCAGAAAAATGGAAAATGAATAAATTTTTTTGCATTACCATTTCCCAACTCAATTTAACATTTTTTTTCGTCTCTTGTACCTCTGTCTCTTTAAACATTAATGAATTTTTTAAAAAAGCAATAAATCCAATCGTAAATTTACTTTAAATCGAAGATGCTTCATAAATTTCTTCTTGTTTTTTTGAAAAAAACTCAATAGTTAATGTATTAATTCTTATTCGTTAGAAACTACCCACGAGGTAAACCAATTCTTTTTTCCTCATGGTTTATTGCGAAAAAATTTTCATTTTGAAAAATTTCTTCCACTGTTATAAAAAAAGCAGGAGAGGAGTCGTAAAACGTTTCTTTTCGTTTTTGTTCGTTCCTGTTCTTGTTTTATCTCATTCCTCTGCCCTCCTGACTTCTGTGGGATATAGATTATTTTAAATTTTTAAGAAAAATTTAGAGAAAATTTATGTTTTTTTTTCATCTGCGCGCGCAAAATAATTTTATTACGTAGCGTCGGAGAAGGAGGCTATGTCATCGATACTATCGAAAATCCGTTTCATTCCGAGTCTCATCGTCCGCAGCTTCAGCTTCACGAGCAAACAAGTATTGTGTTTCTTGTGTTTTTGATTGCCATCTTGGTTCGTTTAAATTTAGTGGCGGGGGGAGAAAAAAAGGC